TCGTCGCCTCCCTCTCCTTCACTGTCGGACTCCCACTCGCCTTGATCTTCCCCGCTCTCACCTCCGCTCGCCTTCCCTTCCTCAGTTGGCCCCTGTGCCCCATTGGGCGTCGAGTACATCTCAGTAGTCGCCTGAAAAACAACAGACAAGACAAAGGTCAATCGACCAACTCAAAGAAGACCAATGAAGAAAAACAAGACCTCAGTCAGGAGCATAGAGACATACCTGGTCCACGTCGTACGAGCTGTCGAGTGGAATTACCCTCCTGGCTCCTCGGGGGTTGTCCTTATTTCCTGTGATGCTCGACAGCCACCCCTCCAGCATCTCATCAGTGACCTCCTCCGGGTGGATCCGAGTGGTGTCGTCAAGACCCACCCGAGTACAGCCACATCGGGTGGTCACGAGCCTGGAGCGGTTGGATGCGCCTCCGGAGGAAGATCTCCAGCAAATCCATGCCCGTCACGCCCTCACGGACAAGCTCAACCACTCGACCGGCCAGCACTTTGACTTGAGCCCTTTCCTCCGGCGCCACTTTCAGAGAAGCGGGTTTTTCAGCTCGGTCGAGGGAGAAAGGAGGAAGACCAGTCGACTGTCCTGGGGTCGCCTGGTCCTGACAGTAGAACCAGGTCGCCTGCCAGCCACGGACCGACTCCGGGAAAGTAATGGATGGAAAGCAGCTCTTCCCCCTCGTCTGGATCGCCAAGCCCCCGCACAACTGGATCACCTGCATCCTCTCGTCACTCGACTTGGCCTTCTTGACCGATTGAGAACGGCAGATAAAGATGTGCTTGAAAAGTCCCCAATGGGGGCGGCAACCCAAGAAAGCCTCACACATGGAAATGAAAGCGGCAAGGTATACAATGGAGTTGGGAGTAAAGTGGTGGATCTGCGCTCCGAAGAAGTTCAAGAAGCTCCGGAAAAAAGGATGGGGCGGCAGAGAAAACCCTCGGTCGATGTGGGTGGCTAGGAGCACGCACTCACCATCGCGGGGTTGAGGTTCGATCTCTCTCCCCGGAAGACGCGCAGCCTCGTGGGGAATGACTCCCCCCTGGACCATGTCGTCGAGGTCCTCTTGTCGGATCACTGACGGCATCCAATCGCCCTGGATCCAGCCCTTGGGCAGAGCGGACCTTGAGGAGGATCCGCCCCGAGCAGATCTTTTCCCCTTCCCCTGCGCCGCCGCCTTCTTCACGCGCTCCAGAGCAGAGGTCTTGCCCTTCGTCATCGTCGCCGGCGAAGTCTTGCACGGGCCTGCTGCGCTGGGGCGAGAACGGAGGTGGCGGAAGGACTTGAGAAGGGAGAGAGGAAGAAGAAAGGAGGAGAAGAGAGCGCACTGCTTGGAAACCCCGAGCCGGCGATTTATAAGGGGCCGCTCCCAAGTGGATGACTGGTAGGCCCAAACTATCCAGTCAAATCCCGCAGCGGACGCGCGCGCAGTACGTGGCGAAAAAGGCGACGCGGGGATCGAGGAGCTTCTGCTTTATCGCTTCCGATTACTGCGGCCGCTCCCGTCCCGTGCGCTTCCCAAAATCCGAAATCCCACGACATCTGCGGGCTGCAGAACAACTTGTCAAAACGGAAGACCCCGCCCGCGCCGATGCTCGGTATGTCACAAATAAAGAAATTCACTCGACGAAAGGCCTGGAATGGATCAAGGCGACTGAAAAAGGTTGGCAACGTCATCCGTGACGATTGACCCAAAACGAGGCGCTCACATAGCCCAAAGAACCAGTCGGAAAGATCTCCAACTCTTTCCCCACTCTAACCTCGATCCATTCGGGGGCTAATGATGAAGCCATGTACCTAGGGTAGGGGCACGGACCTGTCCAAGGAGCCCTACCCTAGGACATCCCTAGGAGAAGTCACCTTTCAATCGACTTGAAGGTATCCCACTTGACGGATTCAAGACACTCGACCAGAAAGCTATCACTCGACCATGAAGCCAACCACTCGACCGCCAGGAGACCTATAGTCACTCCGCAGGCAAACGGTCAGCTATTAAATAGTCTTTATGGTCATTATAGCACTTTATTAGGGGCGTTACCAGTAACGCCCGACCTTAAATGTACCTGAAAACCTGCATTACTGAGGGCAGGAGGGGGCCGGCGAACTCTATATAAGCCACCCCCTCCTTGGGATGAAGGGTTCGCACCCCTGTTATTCACACGCCAGTAATCCAGTCGACCGCCTCCGAGCACCGAGACGTAGGGCTGTTACTTTCTCCGCGAAGGGCCTGAACTCGTACATCTTGGTGTGTTTACAACTTTCCAATAGCTGAGATCTAGCCTCTTCATACGTACCCCCTACACAACTGTCAGAGTTAGAACCACGACAACGCCTCATGGCCGTGCCTGCTCATCGAGGCGGCGCCGTTACTTGAGAGCCTATATGTGCATGTCTCCCACAGAGAAGATGAGCCAAGACAGGAGGTGCCGGGGGAGACCTCGGCTTCGTGCCATCGCCATTTGAAGGAGCTGGTTGTCATTGGATTCCAGAGGACGGAGAGGCAGATGCACCTTGTGAGGTTCGCCATGGAGGTATCCATGGCGCTGCGGCGTGTCGCACTGCTCAAGCAGGGACGCGTCGAGGACAAAGGGCCCTGCTGCGACTGGGAGGTGGTGAGCCAGCAGAGCGCGTGGTGCGACGAGGAGAGGCTCGCCGTTCTGGATGGCATCGGCTGTTCGACGGGACAGATCGAAGTGGTGCTCAGTTGAATTGAGCTTAATGTTGGGGAATTGAAGGTGGATTGCTGTAGCTCTGGTCTGGCTCCCCAATTCGAATAAATGGAACCTGGCGGGTGGGGTGATTTCCTGCTGCTCCAACAATTTATTTGTATGCCATGTGTGTGAACTGAAATGTTACATTCAGTTATTTTGGTGCTGCTACTTTGTATCTGAACCTGCTGAACAATGATGCCATGCAATATGATTGGAATATCATGGTTTCTTGTTTTATGATCCTCCTATTAGTTGTTGTCTTTTGGGCGGGCGAAAAAAAATGAGATGACAATGTTGTAACCGTTTAAATCCTATTTATCCTCTTATTAGACTGTCAAAATGCCTGAACTGGTCTTGTAAACTGAGCAGAGCAGTCATTGATGATCTGCAGACTGGAAATGCCCTGCGAAAAATCTCGACAGTGAATCTGAACCAGTCGAGTGGAATCACTTCAACCAGGCTCAGCTTGTTCTTTACTGCAAGGAAAAGTTAGGATATAATATATTACCTCAGTATCAAAATGTAGTAGTGTTTAGGTGAATCTACACTGTCTATGTATATGAGCAGACAGAGTACAGAATTTCACATGTGTTTTTACTTTTCTGAAAAAAACAGAGGTCATGCAGGGTTGAGGTAATTCTGCATGACCCGCTAGAATAAACACGTTTTCATCTCCCATGTGAGGGGAGTCCGCTGGTTAAGCAGATGTGTAGTAGTGCTGGTCCGGAGTGGACTAAGTAAGAAGACACCTGACCCTGACGGAACCTTCACCTGGGTTTTATCCTCTGTTATTTTTTTCGGATAAACTTATAATACTGGAGCATCAAACGTACAATCCTGCTTACATAAATCGATGACCTCTAGGGGTCCTGATTCCAACCAGACAACAGTTCTACTCTTTGTTCTAGTAAAACTAGCTTAAAATCACTAACTAAATATTGATTACACTTGATATGAACAATACTAGTCGTTCGAAGAGACTTCAAGTACATTATCTCTACCACCAAGGATGCGTAGATTGATCTGTCAATGCCCTTGTCCTTCAACAAGTTCACCGCTATAAGTGAATCCATCTCGATACAAACTGGAAGTTCCCGTCCGCTGAATAGCAATGGATAAACCCTTCATGCATGCACATATTTCTGCTTCAAGGGCATCTTGGCATGAAAATAACTCCTTGCAAGATGAGTAAATAATGTTGGCTAGATTATCGCGAAGCACCATACCAGCACCAACCCTTCCATCATTAGTCCAGGAACCATCCGTATTGAGCTTCACCCAACCTGCTGAAGGAGAAAGCAACTTAGCAGGAGGCACAATTCGTGATATTTCATATGGCCTATTTATCGCTGGATCATAAGATATCACCGCTTTATCTTTCACCGGATCACAATTAGAATTTTGTGCTATAGCAATTAACGACTCAGCTGCATAAATATTGGCGCCAAGCATCCATCAGTGTTGGAATTTTATTATGTACCAACTCATTCCAATTATGCCAACATCTCCATAAAGTGAATAATAACATAGCTCGCTCAATATCTCCCAAAGGATATAAAACCTTCAGCAGCCATTCTATGCCCGTGTTAGACACCTCCTTTAATTTCGGCAGGCACCAGACCTTACTCATGCATTCCCAGAGTTGCACTACAAGTGGGCATCAACACAAGTCATGAAAACTGTCTTCAGACTCAGTTGCACACACCGGACATAAACTTGTTACCTCTAATCCATGCTTGTTTTTATTTTGCCATGTAGGAAGTGAATCAACAACAACTCTCCACGCAAAATTCTTAACTGTGGGCGGTACCTTTGTTCCCCATATTAGCTTCCAGCAAGCTCGTTGTCCATCAGACCCATAACTCGATGCTTGGGCAGATGCCCCGCATGACTCCTCAAAAGCCATGTCATATGCATGATTCATGGCCCGGCGCAGGATGTTCACTGACATGAGCATCCCAAATCTTCCACAGTTCAAATCCTTTGAGGCCTTTTTTGGTTCATAGGATAGGATTATCGTAGGAATAGGAATTTTGTAGGAAATGAGATGACATGTATCTTAAATCCTATGAGTAGAAATGGGAAACGAGATGTCATTTGTTTCACACCAAAGGAATTTTTTCATTGAGTCTAGGCTCATTTTTATTTTCCTATGAAATGTGGAGGATGGGAACCAATCCTATATAGGAATAGGAATCGATTCCTATGAACCAAAGGGCTCTTAAGGAAAAAAATCCTATGAGAATTCTATCCTTTAGAATTTCTATGGAATTCCTCCAAACCAAAGGAGGCTTGAGTAGTGCTAGCGACGCAACTTAAAAAATGTGGTTCCATCCTACTACGTCAATTTTTCTCCCCACCACCTCTTCATCCGTCTCCCACCCTCCATTGATTGTGTTTGGTTTTCCACCGATTCTCCTTTTTATCAAACCAATCTTTGATAACCAATAAACCAGATCAATCTACGATATAACAATAAATTTACGGATCATAAATAAATTGTTTCTTACAGTAAAACATGATATCGACCACACATATCTGGCAACCCAATAAATCGGAATGAATTGACGGTCTGAAAACAAATAAATAACAATGAATCTCTTGCCTTTGGGACTCAATAAAGCAGATCAATCACATACATACTTATTTTTGCCAATTTAAATAATGACAGAGAAGCTATGCTTTCTAACCAAAACTTAATTATATTTTGTCTATTCGTTTTGCATCAATATTTGTCCCATAAGGTCCTCTTAAGGTGTTAAAAAGCATTTAGCCTATGTGACAACGCGCCAGCACATACCTAGTTGCATTGAAAAAGGGCATGAATCCATAAAAAAAGGGGGGCTGAAAAATACGTCAAACTAGTGATATTTCCTTGTGTACAAGGAGGATGAAACCGCCCCGTTGCTTGTCAAAGCATAGATGGTAGCCGTGTCGGTGCCGAAATGCCTAGGAAGGCCTCCTTGATGCCTGCCGGTCGAGCGTTGCCCGAAAATTTGGCAACGCTGCGCTGGCGATGCTGACCGAAGTGGCGCGTCTGCCTGCAGATGCTCGTCCGCCACTAATCCACTTCCAGACGACGGCATCGAGCTGCGTGGGCCATCATGGACTGCAGCGCTCCAAACAAGTAACCGATTCGGCTAAAATTCACAGCCGCGACGGATCCTAAGGCTGGTCATAGTGGGAGTAACTTAGCTAGTAACATAGCGCACTTCAAAAAATTTTGGCTTATGTGACAAGTATTTAATGTGAGGTAGTAACATAATATGTTACTGTAACATAGCGCTTTCCAAGACAAAATGAGTCTACAAACTAATAAATGAAGCCATCTATAACACTACTATTATGTTACTTTGCATTATAAAGGTAGTAACTTAAACTAATGTCATGCATATGACATTAGTCTAAGTTACTCCCCACTATGACCAGCCTAATCGATGGGCGGTGAAACTCTGACAGCCGTCTGGAGTGACAGGGAAGACGAGCGACAGACGCGGCCTTCACGGCCAAAATCGCCACTGGCGGTAGGCAGTCGGCGGCTCACGCACGACCCAGTTTGTTTTGCGGTAGTTGCTCAAGTGTTGCAAATTTGCAGCACTGTTGTATTTTGCAGCTGCCCTAAATATGGAGTGTTTTCTTCAAATATATCAAACAGTTATTTGAAGTAGTATTTTTTGCATCCCGTGATGTAATAAATGGTTTTGTGCTATTAGATGGCACCTACTTCCTCCGTCCATGAATAAGTATACATTTGATATTCAAAATTGTATACTGCTACATGCACGGCGACAATTATCACACGAAACACAGACGGCAATGCCATATCCACCATACAAGCCCAAGGCTAAAACAGCACCAGCAGCTGGATTAAGTCATCGCCCAAGCGCTCGTTGAGCCAAATGTCGTATGCGAAGTACTTTCGTTCAAAATTTATTGATAAAATAGTACTATACATCTATTTTCCCAGTGCACTTTAAAATAGAAAAAAAAATCTTATCACACGGTAATCAAGATCAATAATATTCAACACATCGTCTCCTCACTTTTTACATGCACTTTGAGGTGGGGTGATTCAATAGGAGAAAGAAAATGACTTGGGTCTTTCCAATGTATTTTTTTACTCCGCTCCATAATTTGCCATAAAATTTATATATGTATATACGTTATCGTGGATGGAGCAAGTATTGGAGATGCTTCAAAAAAAAAAAGGCATGAAAAATACATCATGCAACTAGTGATCCTCCCTTGCGAGAAACGAAGCGTGAAAGCGCAGCAAGGTCCGTTCTGCCCACGTTCCCCGACGCCGTGCCGTGCCGGCGCCGCCGTCGACGGACCGTCGAGCGCGAGCTGATCGTCCCCACCTCCCCTCCTCAGGCCGTCCGTTAGGGCATGTACAATGGTTCTATCTTAGCAATGCCACGTAGGATAAATGATGAGGTGGAGGAGAGAGAAATCATAAGAGAATGCTTGTCTTCTCTTAATTAAGAGAAGGCAAGAGATGATCTCTTAGCACAATATGTCTCACCACGTTTTTAGGAATAACTAGATCTTGAAGATAAGGCTAAGAGATGACCATTGTAAACATGTTTTTTTGTCATTTCTAAATTACATGCAAGATTTAAGATAAGACTACCTTATCGACCATTGTACATGCCCTTACTGACACGTGCTTCCACGTTCCCCGTGGACCCGGCGGGTCAGCGTCGGGGGCCCGTCCCACGAGAAAGCCACGTTCCAGTCTTTCCCGGAAACCTATGCGCGACGGGAGCTCCGCCGTGCCTCCTCCCACCTGAACCAGCAAACACCTGGGCCCCACCTCGAGCGCCGGGCCCGCGCCCAGCGACCCGGCGTGCTCGCCCTCGGGGCCGGCTTTCCTTGTCGCCGTTCGAAATTCGAATTGAATGCCCACGCGCGGAGCGGAAACGGACTCCCCCGGAGAAAAGGACAACGGCTACCTCCCCCACTACTTGTACTTCCGTTTTGTCTCGTCCGATCGT